TTTTACAGAGCATGATAAGAAAAGCCTTTCTGATAAGGTGGTATTTGAGCAGAGCCCTAAGAAAATGAGAGAACAAGCTGCGTGGTTATCTGCAGGACAACGCCCCAGCACAGGCCCCAGACGGGCGAGCACACTGGGTGAGTGGCCGTGTCAGCAAGGAGGCCGGCTGTGGCATGAGGGGGAGTATGGCAGGTGCAGACAGTGGTAGGGGAAGGGGGACCCAGCTCATGCAGTGCTTTACAGTGGTAGTAAGGTTTGGAATACACTTGGAAGGTAGAGCAGGCAGCATCTTCTGGCTGGACCGAGCATTTGGGAAGGAAATAGAAGAGGAATCGAGAGTGACACCAAAGGTCTCTGGCCAGTGCAGATGCCATTAACTGAGATGGGAGGGCCTGCAGGAGGGACAGGAAAAGTCTGGCATTCTGTGCATATACAAATCAATACCCACACCGATTCACATCTGGAGTTCCAGGGACAGGCTTTGGTTGTCATCAGTATACAGAGGTGTTTAAAGCTACAAGACAGGATGAGGTCAATGAGAGAGTTAGAGCCGATAGAATGGATCCTGAAAATAGGTCCTGGCATACGGGACTGTTGAGAAGTAGGGAAGATGAGGCTGGGTAGGAACAACCAGTGATAGAAGTCCTATGGGGCTGTAGCTGGTGTGGCTAGGTGGATTGAGTGCCAGACTGAGAACCAGAGGGTCTCTGGTTTGATTCCCAGTCAGGGCACATGGCTGGGTTGCAGGCCAGGTCCCCAGTAGGGCACGTGCGAGAGGCAACCACACACTGATGTTCCTCTCCCTCCCTTCTTCCCTCTCTAATGTATTTCTATGCTATATGTAGTAAATGATCCACTGAGGGATGAGAGCCGTTAACGTAGGAGGACAATTGCAGAACCTGCCTCTCTACCCCAACTTCCAATACACAGCAGGTAGCAAATACAAGCTATCTTTTGGTACTACACAATGTAACTTGGAAATTAACCTACTTTGGTCTGTGCATATGCACATGAAAAGTATATGCATATCTGCCTCATATTTTTTAATGGCCACACAGTGTTCCATTCTGTGAAAGTACTATAGGCAGTAAGCCAGGTAGCTATGTAAAGCTTCCCAAGTCAGCATTTTAGAAGCTGCTAAACTTCTAATGGTGGGGCCAGTGGTGCTTGAAATTTTTTTATTTAATAAGACAATATTTCAAATATATGCAAAAACAGAAAGTAATATAACGAACCTCCATATAGACCCATCACCCAGATTCAATGATAAATAGTCCAGGTATTGCCACACCTATTTAACTCATCTGACCCTTCTGTCACTCACACATTTTAAAGCATATCCCAGACACCATGTAATTCCACTTCCAAATACTTCACCACACACCTCTCAAAACCCAGACTTTTTCTTATATAACCACAATGCCATTATAAATGAAAAAATATACTTTAAAAATAAATTAAGAATAAACCCTTGGTTTCATTAAATAGTCATTTTATATTCAAATTCCAAATTGTCCCTTAAAAGTTTTTTTTTCCCCAGTTGGTTTGATTCAGATACCAATAACGATTCAAAGGTTGTTTTTTTAGTCTAGAGTAGGCTCCTTCCTCCCTAACTTCTTATTTCATGCCACTAGAAGAGACTATTTTAGTTGTTCTGTTTCCTCTAGGGTAGGTATGGGCTTTTGATTGTATAACTGTATGTCTAAAAATGTCTTTATGTTGTCTTTACACTTGATTGATACTGGTGACTACCGCCCTCTCAATCGGAAATCAATGTCTTCAGAATTCCGAGGGCCCTGCTTCATTTTTACACCCAATAATGCTATTGAACAGTCTGGTGCTTTTCTAACTCCTTGTCATTTGTACAAGATTTTATTTTATTTCTGGAAGCTTCAGAACCCTCTCTTTATTCCTGATAACCTGAAGTTTCAGAATGATACGTGGTGCACGGTGTGGGCATTTTTCATTAATCTGGACACCAGTGTCCTTTAGTCTGGCATTCCTCTTGGACGATTTTTTTAATTGTGTTTTCCTCTTTATTTTCCATCCTCTTTTTGGAACTTCTTAGTAAGACTTTAGATAGATTACTTCTCTATGTTATTTAGCTTCTCTCTCCTGTTTACTGTTCTTTATTTCTTTGTTTGACTTTCTGGGAAATTTCTTATCTTTAACTCTTTTATTAATATAAATTTTGACAATTGTAGTTCTAATTTCCAGAAGCTCTTTCTCATTCTCTGATAGTACATTTTCCATGATATCCTGTTCCATTTTACGAATGTAGTATCTTCTCATACCTCACAGAGCAGTTAGTGTTTACACAGTTTTATTCTACTCTTTCTATGAGCTATTTTTCTGATTTTGTTTATTTTTATTTTCAAATTGGAGACTGTCCTCATCTGCCTACAGATCTTTGGTTGTCTGCTTTTACGATAATTTTTTAAGCTTTAATTAGGGTAATGTTTAAATGTACATGAAAGGAGGAGGAACAGTATAACGACTTTCCCAGGTATCCATTGTCTGGCTTCAATAATTATCAGTATTTTGCCAATCATTTTTAATCTATTTTCCTCCCTTCCACACACATACCTCTCCAAAGTTTTGGGGTTTGTTTGTAGAGTTGTTTTTACGTTTTTGTTTGTTTTCCATATCTGCTTTTTTTAAAGTAGTACAGCACTAATCAGAAATGCTGTGCACATGGCTGAGGCTTGCTTACTGAAACATCACAAGTCTTTTCCCTAAATAACCCCAATGTCAATACATCAAGGTCTTTTGTCCAGGGTTATTCAGTTTCTTCAGAAAATCAAGGTCTAGTCTTTTGCCGGGGCGCATGGCATCTAAGCACAGTTTATAAAAGGACCTGCTCCCCCTTCCTGGCGCACACTTCCTGGTGCGTGCGCCAGGAAGGGGGAGCAGGTCCTTTTATAAACTTGAACTTCCAACCGCGTCTCACGATGGCGCCGCACCACACCTGCCGCATCCAATCCCAAAGGCTCCCCAAGGCTGGGCAGGGGCGAAACGCCGCTCTTCCTCTCAGGGTTCCCCTGCACACGCTTTTAGTTTCGGCTTCCCCCACCCTGAAGGGCAGAAAGGGACCCTGCCGTCTCTGCTTTCTAAGGTGTGGGGATAAGAAATACTGCTTAGAGTTGAGGAACAGGAAACAAAGATTTAATTATAAGCTACAAACACAACCAAAAGAGAACTTAAAATGAAGTAACTATATTAGGAAGAATAAGAGTAAGAATTGAGCCAAATCCTCACTTACAACAGCAAAAAAGAAAAGAAAGAAAGAAAGAAAAATCAACACACTATATGGAATTGATAATTCAAGGAACAGTAATGTAAGCCATTTACTTAGAGATAAGAAGAACAAAAAGCTGAAGCCGTTAAAGTAACTACCATGACAAGCTGGCCAGGGGATGAGGCAAGGGACTCCCACTTCTAGGTATGAACCTGGCGGTACTACCTGAAGTTGTAATGCATGTACATGTACCTCTTTGAATACAATTTCTTTTAATTTAACAAAAGCGTATCAGGGAAAGGGGGAATTCTTCAATGTTTTCCCATTACTCTTAGGATAAAGACCTGAATCATTTAAACCAGCAAGTAAGTCTGTTTAAAAACAAATAAACAAAAGAAATAGTGTTTCTGACAATTTTATTATAAATACATGTTCAAGTACTACAACCTCTTGCAGAGCAATTCAAACATTCACTCTAGCAGAGCCATTTTATAAGAAAAGATAATGATTAGAGAATACTGAGAAACTAGTTGGAAAATAATGTCCGGTTAAAGGTTCCTAGAATCCTGACTGACTGAACTGGCAGGATGGATGACTGGGTTTTCCCAGAACACATTTTAACCCTATTAAAATTTATTAGAAAATGCTTCAATGTTTGTTTCATTTTTCAGGAATGCTAATTTCTTCCCAGAAGGAGGCTGTAAATTACATCATGAAAAAAGTTTTGGTCACAGACCTGGCTTGGGACAACTTTTTCCTTTACAAGCCTCTGCAAATGCAATCTAGGTAAGCACTGTCCATGAGAACTGTCTTCGATGATGGAAATGTTCTGTATCTTCACTGTTCAATATGGTGGCCACTAGCCAACCGCATTGGCTACTAAGCGCTTGAAATGTGGCTACTGCAACTGAGCAACTGAAATTTTAAATTTCCTTAATAGGGATTCATTTACATTGGAATAGCCACATGTGGCTCCAGGCTACCTCACTGGACAGTGCAGCTCTAGATCACCACGGGCCGCGGCCTCTTCTGGCCCCGAGCTCTCCATCCCTGTGTCCAGCCATGCCAGCTCACTGCCCTTCCTAAAACACGCGTGCTCTCTCCCACCACAGAGCTTTTGCGCCTGTGGTCTCCTTTCCCTAGAACCTACCCTACCCTGCTTCCCAACTTCTTCACGGGGTTAACTGCTACTTTTTCTTCGCTACCTAAAATTACCTCGTCCTCTTACTTGCTCACCCAACCCACCCAACCAGGTGGAATACAGGCTCTATTTGAACAAGGAACCTACCTACCTTGTCTGTCACTGAATTCCCACCACCTCGATAAAACATGGCCTGGCTCTCAGTAGGCAGTCAGCAAATATCTGATGAATAAATAATTGCCTTCTCACAACTTTAATTGTCATCTCTCTCAGAGACTCCCAAAACCTATCAGTAGGCCTAACCTTGCTCCTGTAATTCGGCTCCCCATTTCCAAGAAGACCCATGAGCCTTTCTACTTAAAAATCCACTACCTATGCATTAACTACTGTTATCTCCATTCTCTTGCCAGATTAACTTTCAGAAAGTTTGGCTTTATTTGGTCATATGACTCCAAACAAAGAAATCATCAAAGATACCCAAGAGAAAAATCAACTTTGAGGCAAGAGTGAGCACACTGCACATACGCCAAGTTTCTTAGGTCCTTTGTAAACCAATATAAAAAGAAAGCAAATAGAAATGTCTCTGCAAAGACATAAAGTGAGACACAAAGTGAAACTTACCACAAGTTCAAAAATGTCCATGAAGACAGAGTGTCCCTTAGGTGTTTTCTCATTCAGACTGGCAGGAGACCAGATCCAATAGAAATAAGTGCCGTCTGAAGAAAGGTGCACGGTGCTCATGGTGCTGCCCACAGGAAGGTGGTTGGCTGGCATGGGCACCACCTGACACACCTGGACACAAAAGAGGGAAAACCCGATCAGTGTGACATATAAATTCTCAGTAATTATACCAGTTCATCATTAATGCTATTGATTCCAAGATAAGAATTCAAAACATTTCCTGGTCAAATAAAACTGATGCTTATCTCTAAGAATGTACAAAAATTACATGACAAAAATACAGAAGTTCATACAATCAGCCATGCAACAGATAAAAAGTTTTTGAGATTAATTCAAATTACCTTTTTTAAAAAATATGTTTACTAAACACTTTGAATCTGCTATGCATATGTGTTTTATCAAACATTTATTAAAAACAAAGTTTTAGGGAAATAGTACTTTCTGAAATTTTCTTAGTAAATGAACTTAAGATTTTTAATTATACTTAAAGGACGGGAACTATATCTTATTCATCTTTATTGTCGGCACTTAATTCAGACTCTAACTCAAAGCTACTTGATAAATATGGGAGGAAGAAAAAAAGAAAGCACAAAAGAAAGCCAAAAGGGAAAGCAGAGAAGGAGAATGGGGAAAGGAGAAAAAAAGTTTTAAAAACTTTTTTAAGAAATGAAGGCACACATGAGATCCTATCTTAGCACATGAGGACTTATTGAAATTCACCAAATCCACAAGGAGAAACAAACACCAATACTCTATGTCAGACATGAAGGCATGTGTTTCTAATACTAAACATACTTTGGTTCAGCATAAGTTTTGCATCATTTCATATTAAATGTGTAGTTACATACTAATTTTTACTGCCAGAGGAAAGCATTTAAAATGAGAGAAAATGAGAACCAAGAAAACTGCTGACTTGGTTTAAAAAAAAAAAAAAAAAAGAATCGAACAGTCGGAGCAGAACTGAAAATCCCAAAATAAAAATAATTAGAGAAAGTCAGATGCCTTCAGAAAACAGTAAGAACAATTTTCAGTCACTCTCCCTCTTTGGGGGAGTCACTAGTTTTCCTAAGATGACATCTGACCCCTGATATGAACTCACTTCATATGAACTTTTTCCCAGACTTGTTTTAGCTGCCTCAAAAGTTAGAGTCATTTAGTTGCTGTAACAGCACTTTGACATTCATAGTGCCAGGTAACTTAGAAAGCTGACAGCTACTCCTTGGCCTAAGCTACACCCAAATTGCTCTGATGCACATATCTAGTTAGTGACAACACTGCTTTTTTGGACAACATCAAAGTTTTTGCAACTACACAGAGGAAAGTGACATCATTTCAAATGTGAACCATGTTCCAAGATTTAACATCTGCCTATTTCCCAGGCTAACAACTCTATTACAAATAAATATAGGTGATGTTCTCATCTGTCTGCATCAGTGATAAGAAATGAAGGCAACTGGGCAGCTATATGCTAATGTGTTCATTTTACTCATCTACCAATGATTGAGCACTACCACGTACTTTGGAGACACAACGGGTGAACAAGACTCAGCCCCTGCTCTCTAGGAAAGACACAACTGAGTGACAGAAAGAGGTGCAGCATCCCCCTTAAGTCCGGGAGGTAATACTCTCAGGGCACTCAGTCCACAGATAGGAACTCTACCCATCAGTTCAACTTTGGTTGAAGGGCAAAAAATAGTAGCATAAAGAGCTCAAAGTCTAGCCCTGGCTGGTGTGGCTCAGTGGACTGAGTGCTGGTCTGCGAACCAAGGGTTGCTGGCTTGATTACCAGTCAGGGCGCATGTGTGGGTTGTGGGCCAGGTCCCCAGTAGGGATCACATGAGAGGCAACCACACGTTGATGTCTCTCTTCCACTCTTTCTACCTCCCTTCCCCTCTCTTTAAAAATAAAAAACAAAATCCTTTTTTTAAAGAGTTCGAACTCTAGAGCTAAGAACCATGCGTTCAATCTCTTGTGCTGCCATGATTGTGTGGCTTTTGACAAGTTACTTAACTTCTCTGAGCTCCATCCCTTCATTCACCAATAAACACTGCCTGCCTGCTTGCAATGTGCTTAGCTTCAATTGCCTCATCTTTATAATAAAACTGCCTTAGTTACACCTCACAAGTATATGTAAATTGCCTAGACCAGAACCTGTAACTGGGAGAGACACAGTAATTGTTATTATCATCATCAATCAAATGCAGGCACTACATTCTAGGGACACAAAGATGAATAAGACAGGGTCCGGACCAAAAGGTGTATGCAATCTTGGGGAGGAGTTAGACACAAGAGCAGGTAATTTCAGTATGATGCAGCAAGTGTCCGGAGAGAGCGCTATGAGAGCACTAAAGATGAGCTCTTAACCCATACCAACAATGATTTTTATCAAAACTCATTTCAAAGCTTCCATTCCCACAGAAAGGCTGTTTAGAATAAACTGAATAGGGAAATGATATCTTCCCAAAATAGATATGGTTTAAAAAAAAAGAAAAGAAGCAGCTAGTATTTATACTCTGACTCTCCAGAATTTTTTTTAAAAAAATAAAAAAAGCTTTGTGTTGGCCTTACAAACTCTTAGGGAGCACGTTCACTCAAATCATGTAGGAAAACTCGAAGACATCAGACAAAAAACCAGAATGCCCAGACACCAACAATTCAAAGGATGCCGCTCTGGCAGGAAGCTACGTCAACTGTGTTGTTATTGCTTCTGATGAAGTCAGGAACTTCCCTTACTGTCCCCAAAATATAAAGACAATGCCTTGGTTTTCTGTTTACCTGAAGGGTGTTCTGGTCAATGACCTGGAAAAGGGAGTGAGGTTTATTATCAAAAGATACAGGCCGATGGAGAAGACTGCCGCTGCCAAAAGCAACCCATCCTGGCTCCAGCTCCTCGTTCCGGCAGTAGACAAACCCTCTGTGGGAGAGAAAGGTACACAGGCTGGGCCCCCAGTTGGGTCTGAAACCCCACAACGAACAAACATTTTCCACTTAATTTTTTTAAATGAATAAATATGCAAACAATCTGAAGGAGAGTGAATATATTACATTAACTTTGGGACTGACAAACTAGGGCAAATATTCATTTTCCACAACAAACTGGAGAGGAGAAAAGTTGGGGAAAAGGTCTAATTAAATATATAAAAGGATCTCAAACTATGGCCTCTTTTGGCAGCAATTCACAGATTTTACACCCCAAATGAAAATCACTGCTAATCACTGAAAATCCAAGTATGAAGAGACTTAACTAGAAAATGTCCATTTATCAACATGGAGTAGAAACTAATAGACATTCTCATCATAGAGGAATTTCTGGTTAAAACAATGACCTTAGGGCTACCAGACTCTTTAGAGAAAAAACAAGGCTGAAATGCACCTACAGAATTAGGGGGGTGAGTAACAATAAGAGAAAACCAGAAATAGATTAATTTGTTCAAACTTATTTCTAGTCAGTACACGGAAAGTCAGCATGTACCCTTACATGTCTTCTTCATGGAGGTTTGCATAAGGAGGAAATGTTCCAGCCAAATCATTTGGCAAACTCCATGCAACTCACCTGAGAGTACCATGTAATCCAGACCCCAACTTGCTTACTCCTCTGCCAACTGAGTTAGTAGTATACAGGTAGAGACCATCCGCCGTGAGACAGCGTCCCAAGTCAGCGTCTGAAATCATTTTGTCACACGTAAATTATATAAATGCTTTGCTAATGAAATTATAAACGTGCTTTTTTTTTTCCTAGTGAAAAAGCCATTAGGAGGTTTAGTGAAAGATAATCTCCCACTTCTAAAATAAGTGCTTCAGTGTGACTTCCATGGAAGATGGGTCAAACTGCCTGCCCCCCTCCCCTCCTCCCACCCCCAGCCAACATCCAAAATGCATGTGGGATTGGGACCAAACTCAGGGAAAGAGGTTAGGTGGTTAATCAGCAGGACAACCTGGTTCTGCCTGACGCGTGCACGTGCATGCGTGTGTGTGGAAAGCAAAAGTACTGAGCCCAATGTATGCATTCCTAGCTAATTTGAAATGACTAAGAATATACTTTCACTAATAATTTTGTATTAAAAAAAGGTGTGAGTTTTTAAGGGTTTTGGGCTAGTTGATCTTGAGCGTCTCTGAACTTCAGTTTCTTCATTTATAAGATGAGAATTCTATGTACCTCAAGAGTTACAGGGATGGTTAAATGAGATTGCCCAAATAAACTCCTACACTGCACCTGGTTCAAAGCCACTGCTCCAGAGATGACAAGGACATTGTGTTTACATACTAATGTTATATGTTAAACCCAAATCTGCGTCTGTGGATTTTCCATCCAGAGATCCTATTTTTAATTTCTGAAGCACACAGCACAACTGCGTCTGTCTGTCTCTCTGTCTCTCTCTCGCGCGCGCGCTTTATCTCTTTCTTTTTAATTTAAAGATTTTTTTTTCAGAGAGAGGGGAAGGGAGGGAGAAAGAGAAGGAGATAAACATCGATGTGCGAGAGAAACATCATCGGTTGTCTCTTGCATGCCACTAACTGGGGACCTGGCCCGCAGCCCAGGCACGTGCCCTGAGAATTGAACTTGGCGACCTTTCGGTTCTCAGGGCGGCACTCAATCCATTGAACCACACCGGCCAGAGCTGTATCTCTTCTATTTAAAAATAGCAACTGTATTTCCCCTTTGCTATATCTTCCCCTAAAATAAACAATGTATCTCTACATGATCTTAAATGGTTCACTAACAAAGAGTTTGCCTTAAAAAGAGCTTATAAATAAGCTCTTCAGTGTTTATTTTCATCGTTATTCCATTCGCTATGTTTAAATGGAGCCTGTCTATTCCTTGCCATTTTAGGGGAATCCAGTGTCACAGCACTCAAAATTAGTGCTGAGTGTGCTGTTATCTTAAAAATTCAGTATACTAATCTGAGACAACTGTAATTTGTATCTATTGGTTTCTCAAAAAACAATCGGTTAAAGTGGGTAATCAAATGATTACCATATAACACCAATTTCGCTTTGTTGAATCTTTCGAAAACATCATATGGTTTTATGGAAACAATTTCCTGGAGTTTTCTTACCTCCCATTTCATCAGTTAGGTAATATTGAATGATGTAATCATAGCAAGTACCAGTTACAAACACAAACAGGCTTGGGAGCAAGGTGGGCTCTTGGCAGGCCTGCAACTCCACAGGGGAGCGCCATGGGGGCGCCAGGCCCCAGGAGTCTGTCTACCCAGTGAGCAGCAAGGCCACACTCATATAGGGCAGGTCAGTTAGGTGTAGGTCAATGAAGAGAGCATCGACCATTTTCACTGAGGGTGCAGAATAAACCGATATGTGATACTTGTGAAACTGCAAAGACATTTTAATCCAGGCCACTTTGTTTTAAAAAGATACTTAACAATTTATGTTCCCTTGAACGATTGCCTGCTTTTTTGTGTTTGGGTTTTTTTTGTTTTGTTTTGTTTTGTTTTTTGCATTTCAGACAGCAGAATTCATCAACACACACAAAAAAATATTACTAGAAGAAATAGTATCAGGCAGAAAGACCTGAAACTCGCTTCATGGATGTAAAAATTGAACTTAGGGTTCCCATACCCAAACCCAAATACCCAGGAACCAATTTAAGTAATTCATGCCGCTTTGGCAGGTGTATGGATGATACCTCTTCCTGGAGATAGTAAAACCTATCCACTTTCTTACCTCACTGAGTATCAGTTTTTATACTTTGACTGATAAAGCAGACAATGAACACACTGTATAGGAACCTTGAGCTCTTTACTTAAAAGGAACACAGTTATATCTAAATCATTTGCCACAAGGATCTCAAACCATTCTTTTCTCATCTTAATTCCAATCACAGGACCGAAACCCTGAAATTACCTTTATTTTCAGAACTGGAGCCAGTGTTGCTGTCTGGTGCAGGCAACATGTCTTCATATCCCCATGATACTATGTGTTTGCCACCAAGCAAACAGGAGGGGGATCCAGGCCCCCCTTCTAAAAGCAATAGCCTAAGAGGAGGAAATGGAGAATCACAAAGACACCAAGACTATCCACTTTGGCAAGAAAATAAAAGTCCACCTAACCATTTCAAAGAACAGAAAACTGAAACAGTTTTACACAGATACTAAACATCTGAAATGATATTCACAACATATTTTTAAATTTAAAATTTACAAAGTACTGCTTATAGAAATGTGATAAAATTACATCTACGTAAAATACATACATATATATATATATATATATATATATGTATGTATGTATATATATATAGGAGAGAGAGGTAGGTATGTGTGAATTGGGAAACATACACCAAAGTACTCAGAGTGGTTATCCTTTGGGTAATGAGATTATGAATGATTTTATCTTTCTTCTTTATACCTTAACATAATATCATCTCAAAATCTACAGTAAGAATTCATTACAAGCTACTGCATTTTTTAAAAAAGATTTTATTTATTTTTAGAGAGAGGGGGAGGGGCGGAGAAAAACATTGATGTGCAAGAGAAACATCAATTGGTTGCCTCTTGCACGTCCCCAACCAAGGACACAGTCCACAACCCAGGCATGTGCCCTGATGAAAACTGAACCAGCAACCCTTCAATTTGCAGGCTGGCACTTAATCCACTGAGCCACACCAGCTAGGACAGAAGCTATTACATTTTTAAAAGCCCCCACACACAAAAAAAATTCTCTAGGAACACTTTCAAAAAAGGAAAAACAAAATACTTAAGAAGATAAATATGATAATATACTTATTTTAAAATACGAATCATTTCACTTATATGTGGAATTTAATGGACAATATAAACAAACCAGACACAGACTCATTGATAGAGAACAAACAGAGGGTGGTTGACAGGGCGGGGGTCGGGGGAAGGGGTTGGGTGACTCGGTGAAAAAGGTGAAGGGAATTGAGAAGTTCAGACTGGTAGTTACAGAACAGTCACGGGGATGTAAAGTGCAGCACAGGGACCATAGTCAATAATAGTGTAATAATTAAGTACGGTGCCAGGTGGGCACTAGAAATATCGGGGGAATCACTTTGTAAAGTATATGATTATTTAACCACTATGCTGTACAACTGAACCTAATACAAATATTAAATGTGAACTATAATTTAAAAAATATGAATCGGTAAGAGTTTAGCAATCTACTTATTTAAAAAGGCCTTATGCACAGTCTCCCTTGTGTAGAAGGAGGGTAGGAATCCAAACTGACAACTTACCTATACAGTACATCGGCTACAGGCAAGGACCCTAGATCAGTCTGTTTCTGTAACAGATGGGCTGTATGGACAAAAGTTTTCAATGATCCCCTAAAAATAAAAGGAGGGAACACAAAATCATCAAAATTGAGAAGTCAAACAAGAAGGTTGTTAATGTAATTTTATTAACCACATGGGAAAGTTCCAAAATGCATCTATCTGCTTACGCCAATCAGAAGACGTAAACAAAATAGACTTGATTCTCACCTATTACCACTGGCTCACTCTGTGAGTAGCCCTATCTAAACAGTCAATAATGATGTTCTTGCACTGGTAAAGGTAAATAATTTCCCCTAACACAAAAGTTCAAAATATAAGGCTCAAGTACAAAGAATATGTGACTAGTATGCTTGGATACTATTTTCATCAAGTCATTCTCTAGTCTAGAGGAGAGATTTCATAGGAAGAGATTATATTTAAAGTCTAACAGTATTTCCATGATTAATTTTTAATGTCTTTGTTAAGTTCATTCATTTTACATAACATTTCACTGAGCCCCATCATATCCAAAAAAGGAATATTCAAATAATTAATACTCTGTACTGAGAGCTGTTCCTTCTGCTAATCCTGCTGCAAAATGGGTGATTATACTACTTCCAGAGGTCATCACTACCTAATTTCCTGTTGGTTCCCAAGGCTGGAGGCTCTGGGAAGTCAATAATATGGTCAGCAGAATCTAAAAGAAAGTGCTTTTAAGATGCACAAGACTTATCTGGCCAGATCCCAAGTATAAATCACCACAAGAACATTTCCTGATCTCAATGATCACCTGTATCAGATGGGTGACTTCAGATCACTGCCTTATTCTCTTGGCCAAGGCTTTAATTGCTAGGTATCAAATGCCTAAACCCCAAAAGAAACAGAATACCTAATGCTGGACTGAGTAGGCCTATAGTCCTCCTTTTAATTGCCCCTTTCACTATCTCTGGTGTTCAAAGAATCAAAACCACGGAACAGTGTAAGACAGAAAGGCAGCAGATAGAGTATAAAAGCCCAAGTTGGGAGTTGGGCCACTCGGACGCTCTGAAACCAGGCTCTGCCATGCACTGACTCCACCATCTTGGCCCTGTCACCTAATTCCTACAAATTTTTGCTGCTTCATCTGTCCAGCAGAGAGGAATATCTTCTGGGGCACAATGAGCTTAAAAAAATAAAAGGGCAAAAGCACACTGGAACATTTAAAAACACTAACCCAACTATAAAGTCTTATTTCCTCTCCAGACTCAATCAGATTTTAAGAGCAAAATTTAAACTCCTCCGTGGCTCCTACGCCCCGACTCCATCTGGACACTGACGATCTCGTGCCCTGTCCTCCCCCTCTCCCACTGCAGCCCAGGGCTCTGCTTGCTTTGGTGAGCCTCCACTGCCCCGAACACAGAAAGAGCTTCAGAGTCAGGCCACTTGCTGCTCCTCTTGCCTGGACCTCTGTCACTGGCTTTTTTGTATGGCTGGCTCTTTCTCATCATACAGGCCTCAGTTCAAACGTCACCTTTTCAGCAAGGCCTTCCCTGGTATCACCAGCTAATGCTGTCTCCCTCCTCTGCTTAGTCATTCTCTATCAAAATATCCAGATTTGTCTTCTTACAGTGATCACCCCTCTCTGAAGTTATTTTATACCTCTATTTGTTGCTAGTTGTCTGCCTCTCACTCTCAGGTAAACTTTGCAACGTTAGGGATTATCTACCTTGCTCACTGCTGTGTTCCCACTGCTTGGAAGAGTACCTAGTCTATGGTAAAGTGAGCAAGAGTTATTGACAAATGAATCTCCCTGAGTCAGTTCAATTGTTCATTTAGAGACCGTGAGTCACCATATTTCTAAGACATAGCAAGGTTCCTGGCACATCAGAAATGCTTGGTAAATGTTGGTTAAATGAATGAACATCTTAAAAAATTTTTGGAAAAGCTGTTTGTCTTTGAGAGCATCGATCTCAAAAATTCAATAATATGTGCCTAATAACAGGAGCTGATCTAACACTGAAAAACATGTGACTTCTGAGGTAAACAACATCCAGAACAAGGATAATATTAGCAATAAAATACAGGAATCATCTAAAAAAAAAAAATCCAAGAAGAAAATAAAAACATTCATTTCAACATTTGTGCTAAATTGAATTTGAACTCTCAAGTACATGCAACAATTTCAATAACTACCTATAATTCAGATTGAATTTGAACCCATAATTAAAAAGTAAGTTATAATCCCAACACTTAAAACATTTGAAATTAAACAGCTTATGATTATTCCAAAAATCCTAAGTTTAAAGACAGTCCTATCTAAAAGTAAATTTGCTCAAAATGGAATTTTTGCATTAATAACAAATCTATTTAGGGCTTGAAACTGTTTTTGCATAGGCAAAAAATAAGTTTCCTGTAAAGGCTTTATATTGGATGGACTTATTTCAGTACCACCCAATAATGTTTCCAGAAATAAGCTTGCATCTGGATTTCCACAATCCTCTACAGTCTTCAGGGACCTGAGACTAGGCTATGACAGTTTGCTCAGGACAAAGAACTGACAATAAATACTAGTGCCACTTTGTCTTAAAAATAGCTTGAGATTCAACTATTTGAAGGTCAACTTTGAAACCATAAAAACAGGAGAAGAAGTATTATAGCTAACAACTTCATTATCCCCCAAGAAGAATTTTCCCACATACTTTTTGCTTAAAAAAAAAAAAAAAGAAAAGGAAGAACCAAGTCAAAGGAAAGAACCCAATCAAAGAGATAAACAGATAATGACACTAATCTGTCAGGCTGTGGTCCTAACTGGTCTCTACACAGCTAGCGTAGAGGAAAGCTAGGGGAGTGACCCTTTTTTCTCACAAATGTGTGCAGCTGATCATACAGGTTACCGGGCAGAAGAATGTAGCAATTCTCTCCTAGAAAAGTAAGTCCAAGCACATTTCCTATTTTTTAATCGAATTTATTGGGGTGACATTTGTTAATAAAATTATATAGGTTTCAGGTGTACAATTCTATAATACATCATCTCTATATCACATTTCCTATTGACAGTGGATCAATAACATCAACTTAAACACAAAGTACAGCACACTGTTAAATCTTGATATATACAGAGAGATCTTCCAACTATATTTTTAGAGGCAAGCATCGGGGTCCAAAAATATAATTTGTGACCAAGTCTGTGTGACTGAGTCCAGGAGAGTAATAACCTACTCACTCACTGACATACTCCTTACAGACACTCACAAAAAAATTAAAAGCTGTACAAACTTTTTAACTGCCCTTCCAGAAGAAACACAGAGAGAACCTCCTCCATGAACTACCTGATATAAAACACTCATCATCTAAGGGGTGAATAGATACTGGCAAGGGTTGATCCTCCATTTCAAGCTGTTTAAGCTGTTATCATGGTATAACAGAAAGTGAAAACTTGAACTTGCATTCCAGCTCAGGCTGCTGGGTCAAGATTTGGTGAGAAAGCATCTCGTGCACTGTCAAGGCTGTAAAGTTCAATATTGAAAACAAAGGAGGACATCTGAGGGCTAAGACTCCCATCACATACGCTGGCCCTCTCACTCACCCAACCCAGGCAGCTGCAGCAAGTCACAAGGTGACCAAGTGGAACATTTGATTCTCCTTACCTGGCACATGCCAGAGCCACCAGGGCAGCAGCAGCATTTTCTTTTTGCTTATGTGGGATGTGCCGGCCTGTGTCAGAAGTCTCCTCTAGCCAAGAGCACAGCAAAGTTTCAATTCCATTGAGACAGTCAGCAGGCTCCTTGGTCAAGCTCAAAGGCTGGCAGTCGCGAAGGCAGTTCAATAGCACCTCAGCGGTAATGTTACAGAGAGAGGGGTCCGTTCTACTCTGGGACTGAATAAGGGGGAAGACCAGCAGGAGCCCCACCCGCGACGTGAAGGGAGCCTGCTCAGGCTGCTGCAACAAGCCCTGGCGTTTGAGCAGGGCCGAGGTTTCCTCATCGCCAGAACTCTCCCTTTCGTGCTGTTCTTCCAAGGCCAGCTGGCGCTGGGCGTTCCACAGTCCTCGCAAGGCGTTCAGCCGGTACTCCAGCAGGCGGGCATAGGCGTTGCTCTGATTCCCGCAGACAGAGCGCAAGCGTTCTGCTAATTCCATTGGGTTCTTGGTCTCGAATGTTAAAATCTAATAAAAGAAGCAACAGAGAAAAAGTTGTTATGTGCTACTTTCACCATTGCTTTCAACTATGGAAGCAAATATATCCAAAGGTATCTAAAAATGGCCTAAATCAAGAACTAGTTTTGTACAGTTTGTTTTTATTTTTTTTGAGAATTATTTTAATTGCAACCAACTATGAACACATGTGCTATAAAGTCAGGTATTTGCTAATGGTTTTTTTCCCTGGCATTTCTGCTAATGCTCATATTAAACATGAAATGAGACCTAATTGAAAGAACACAAATCATAAAAATGGTTAAGTGTGGAAGTCACAAATTAATTCTAGTAATTTATTTTAGAAAATGGAAGTATAAATCTATGTTAAATGCTCTTGAGTTAAAATGTAAGTCTCTAACTCCTATTATCAGGTGGATTTTTATCTTCAAAATCTAAAATACCTACTAATAAATGATTGTTTATTGCTCTTTGATTTTGAAGAACACTTCATTCTTAGCACTGTTAGTCATTATTTCAATTGGTGAAATAGAATAACTTTATCGAGTTCATATTGATAGAGGAATCACTACTATTTTCTTGCCAAAACATGCAAGTACCAGAAAGTCTCTTCTCAATTTTCACCAGCTGGGGAAATAAAAACATTAAATCTTCAATCAACTAAAAAAGAAACCAGCTACCAAGAAAAAGAATCAAACTAAATTTATGATGCAAAAGTTTATGCATAGAAACTTCACCAGGCTAAAATGAACAGACCATTGTAACCAACAAATAAAGGGAGGCACTCTAGCAGCAAGCCCATAAAACAGATCATCGGGCGCCAGAGGTATCTGGTTCTCAGTAGACCAGAAAGTCAGGGTTTGAAATAAAAGCAAAGAATGTTCTGTTAAGTCATTCGCACTGACATTTTAAAAGGTCATAGTTCACTTTATTTCTCTCACAAATCTGTCAAATACTTTTTTACCTTAAATTTTGCCCTTAAGAACTGTTACCCCAATAAAAGAACAAGAACTTCCAGGTTGATGTAAACTCTGTAGGTATCGCTGTGTACAGCTCTATTGCAAGTCATATTATTAAAAATTAAAACTAGTGCCCTGGCTGGTGTGATAAGTGGATTGAGTGCTGGCTTGAAAACTAAAAGGTTGCCGGTTCTATTCTCAGTCAGGGCACGTGCGTGGGTTGCGGTTCAGTCCCCAGCTGGGGATGTGTGAGAGGCAATCGATGTTTCTCTCCCTCTCTTTCTCCCTCCCTTCCCCTCTCTCTAAACATAAATAAAAACAAAATCTAAAAAAATAAATAAAATTAAAACTAGGGCCATTTTTACTTAGTTTTTAATACAGATCATGATTAAATGTTCTTCACCATCAAGTCATACAAAACTATTTTCCTACCTTTTGTTGAGATTCATCAAACACAAATTACTCTTTTGTTTATTTTCACATGGCAATAGATAAAATAACTCAAATTCCTTAAAAAATTATCACTTTTCAAGGACAATCATACACCTTGAAACTGCGTTCATATCCAAAGAAACAAGAGTGCCCTTTTCTTTTCTCAAAGGATCTCCCCCCACCCCCCCGCCCCCAAATCAGCAACCAGCTTCAACCATGAGGGTCAACAACCAAAAACTGAGGTACATTCGAATGTTGTAAAAAGAAAAAAAAATCGCAATTTTAAATTTTATCACTTCGCCAGTTATGAATATATAAGCAAGGAAGAAATTTTGTTGCATTTTTAAAAAAGCTTTCCAACATTGATTGTGACTTTCACCCAACAACTCTTTGATATTAAATTCATGTGTTCCACATACATTTTTACTTATGGTACACTGACTACTTATGTTCTATGAAGCAACTACTAAAAATTTCAATACAGGGTTTTATTGGACTCAAGAATCGAAGACCATAAAAATACAGTAACTAAAAAAAAAAGTCAAAGAACAACTTAGTAATATTAAACCCAGCTATTTATTTTTATTATCTCAAACACAGTGCTTCTGAAATATGGTATTTCATGGTTCATAAAATAATGTGTATGGCAGAATCTGTAGCTAACTCCAAATATTGAGAGTAGCTAAAAAAACTATAAAATATACTTCAGCATTTTTCTGATGATTCTATTTTTATAAGTACTTCAGTTATATTTTAAGATTCCACTTGAAAGACAAATATTCTGAAACAATCTGAGTTATAATTAACAAAATATTGTGTAATATACACACTTAAGTGACTGTTCTGTTTATTGATTTAGCAGTACCTAACGCACACCATGCTTTCAAAAATCCATTAGACTACTTAGCATTATCCATTTCAATGGCCCTTATGAACACTAAGAAGTGACCGCTATGCTGCCACTTTTTTAGAATTCTGAAATTTGAAGGTCATGGCCTAAAATCATTTTATAAAGACATACCTTTGGGTTTTAGTAAGTCAGCTCTGGAGGATCTATTCTGGTCCTTATCAATATTAAATGATTTCTCCTCATATAAATCCACTTGCCCTCAGTAACTACTCTTGACCAAGAAGATAAAAGACCAAAATGTCAGTATAAAATTAATATTCTTTTATTTAAAAAATAGAAAAGTTATTTAAGGAAAAGGGAAGATCCCTGTCACCCTTAATCAGAAGGAACGGTCACTAACTGTACTTTAGAGATAATGCTGAAGTCACCCCAATTAAAGGAATGACTTTCAAAATAACTCATACCCTTTATGTAATTTTATCATAGATGACATGTGTTTTTAAACTAAGATAACAATCCTTCTGGAAAGCCAATAAAAAGTAAGCAAAATATTCTTTGCCAGCCAAATCTGAGATATAAGAACAGAGATAAAATTCCCCAAAAGGGTCGAATAAAAAGCTAAAAGCTATATTAAGCTGCCTTCTGAGAGAAATAGAAAGTAATTCCATTTCTAAAAATTTACCCTAAAAAAAATGTTCCAGAAATAAAAAATACACAAAGATGTTTACTGCAGCCTTATTGTAGTGGGAAAAGTAGGAGCAATCTCAATGTCCGAAAGAGAAATGTACATGTTTATTAAATTAACAACATCACAATGGAATATTACGCAAGAACTAAAAAAACAAATTAGCCACACAGACAAAATAAAAAGCAGTATAAAATTGTATATGACCTCTAATAGGACTATATAAAACATGGTTGTTCAAGTTTGAAATGTCATTAGTAAGTATGGTAACAGAATCATGGGGGGCCCCTATTAAAAAAAAGGAAACAATAAATGAAAAGTTCAATAGCTTATATTTAAGACAAGCAGTCATAACTAGAGCTGATGTTTTTCACAAGCAAACACTATCTTTAAATAACTGGTAGTCAAATGGTGACACAATTGATATATTTAAAATTTGGGGACATATCTGCTTTCCTTAAATTGCTTCTCTGGTTCCATCTGTTGTACCTTAGCAGCAGTTTATTTCAATGTAGGGCTGATTATATTCCTGATTAGGAGGCAAGGCTAGGTGGTGGGATGGGGAAGACCACCGTAGATGGTGGGAACTATCAGTGAACAATAAAACCTTTCACTCTCTAAGAATAAATGATATTTAAAACTCAGAACTACTCCAGCTCCAAATAGGTGAATGATATTACTATACTCCCTAGTATGGTACATTAACCGGTTCAATTCATCACATGAACCTGTCAGCATAAAAGGCATTTACACCTGGATTATTTCAAAGCAGATCAACTAGCCAGACTTGCAACCCCAACACAAAACTTTTCAGTAAAGGGTGTAGAATAATGAGTCTCTCTCAAATGTTAGAGTGGATTTTTAAACCCTTTTACAGATTTTCCTACCATTTTCCACATTATGAAGATGGCAATCATGGCCAAATTGAATTGCATATGAAAGTTCAAAGAAGATCAGAAAGATCTCATGTGAGCCAACTAAATGAATTGTGAATGGAAGGATGGAATTCTATCTCTAATACGAAAGCCTATATCAAGAGTGGATCACTTATCAATTAAATTAGACCCTGAAGTTACATGACCTTATCCAAGCTTGGATATATGTGTTCATTCAAATTTTCTTTTAACATGTTTTTTTAAAAGGGTCTTTAACTTCACTGATAAACAGATTAAGTGTCACACTTTAATTCACAAGTTTCAGCCTATAGCTTGGTGCCAAAACTAGGAATGGACCCTGACTCGTTACCAGATTATTTAGCTTTGGCTCAGCCCTGTCCCACTTTCTCCAACACAGGGTGATATTCCCCAGACCTTCATACAGCTGCTATGGATAGCAGGGTTGTTAGAACTGTGAGAACTCAACGTATGAAAAATCACTGTTCAAATTCTTTTTGTATGGAAGCTCCATCTTGTCCGGACCTCTGCCTAATTTTCACCTTTTGTCATGTTCCCACTCAGTCTGAATCCTACCTATCTTTCAAAAGTCAGCTCTGCCACTTACTTTGAGAAACTCCAATTTCCTCTTTCTCTCTTCTGCTTCCCAGAATTAACTTCTCTATGTTTCCACAGTATCCAGCACATACCTCTATCAGCCGGTCAGCCAAAAACTATAAGAAAAAATGCCCTCTGCCCTGGCTGGTGTGGCTCAGTGGACTGAGCACCAGATAGAGAACCAAGCAGTTGTCAGTTCAAATCCCAGTCAGGGCACATGCCTGAGTTGCAGGCCAGGTCCCCAGTTGAGGGTGTGTGGGAGGCAACCAATCAACACATCAATGTTTCTTTCTTTCTCCCTCCCTTCCCCTCTCTTAAAAAACAAAACAAAACAAAAAGTCTTCTGTTTCAATAGGAATGTGTTAACGATTAGCTTTTAATAAATGATGTATATTAAGGAAATAAGTGATGTAAAAAATGGCTCTTAAAAGTTGACTCATGGAATCAAACCCATATCTAAAATTCTCTCCATGGTATAAAGTCATTTTTGCACCAACATAAAATCTTGACAGAACCAACACAGATCATCTTTCTATGCCTAGTAATCAAAAGAATAAAATTTAGAGAAAGATGTAAGGATGAACTCCTCAAAGTGG